ACGAAGGTTAGACGCGCTAACGTTGTCACTGTATTGTACTTTGTGACAGAAGGTCGCTCATTGAAATAACCGACATTATAAATACGGTGTGCTATCATTACAGTCTGTGTTTACATTGTGAGCGCGACATGATCAGTGTTGTTTATCGCTGTTTCTTAGGTACATGGCTAATAATACTGGGTCTGTCTATAACAAACGCTATAATAATGAGTGATCCCTGTGTGAGCCAAAAAAATAGCAGTAGGGCCTATTGCTTCCTGACGCAACCCTGATTCGAACCCGGGCCGCAGCGGCGAGAGTGCTGCGCCTTAACCACTAGCCTACCAGGGACGGCTCTTATACATGCTTTATGTGAAGTTTCCAAATTATGTTATAATCTGTTATGACACCAAGAAATTTAATTTCATTATGTTATTCTTTATGAAAGTAATTATTTTAGCATACATTAATCACACTCTCAACATGTTTTATCTAATCAGCTTTTAATAGATCAGATCAATCAGTTAATTTAGATTGACGAATTGTTTCCTAATTTAATGTGGGAGGAAACCGGAGCACCTTGGAGGAAATCCACAACACCATAGTAGGCAGATTGCAAACTCACGGTGTCTTTGTCTTTTACTGTAGCTGTGAGCTCTCAATAGTAATGCTGAGAAGCTTGTTATTACCATGGATGTCATAAGGAATGCGTTATCTCTTGTCATACTGTACACTTATGTGGCAAAAGTCCCGGAAGTGCAAAGAGTCCCACCACTCAATGATTTCCTTTTGACTACTTTAGCGACATCGGATACATTTCCACGCATTAGTAAAGAACCTGCGAATGGCGCTGTGTTTCTTTGGTGGGTTAGGGTTAAGTAAGTGATTTTTTATAGTCAAGGCGATGTAATCTTCACTTACTGTTGTATCCGAATACAGTTGAAACTGCACCCTATCTGCACTGCCAAAATGTTTGCACAGGTCTTTGTACACCTTTTTGTCCAGGTCCTTCAATAATTTTAAATTACAGTCTAAATCTTCAGACTTCAAGAGATCACAGGTTCTATCACGCACTCGCTTCATGGAGTTATGTGGTGGATTAACTAATAATTTGCATTTCACGATAAGCCTGGAATACACAGAGGACACAGCTGCCTCCACGTAACGTTCTCTCACCCTTTTCATCTGCTCAGCGCTGATACTTGCCTGTAGGGGAGACAGACAACCTTGTCCCCTTTCCTTCTCTTCAGCAGCAAAGCTTGCATAACTACGTAGGCTCACGTTTGTCCTTTTCACCTGCTCAGCGTTGACGCTCACCGCTTCACTTGGGGAAGACAGATGATCTTTTAATGTAGCTTCTTGGCCGCTGTCTGTCCTTTCCTCCCCTTCAGCAGTGATGCTCACTGCTTCACTTGGGGAAGACAGATGATCTTTTAATGTAGCTTCTTGGGCAATGTATATCGTTTTCACCTCTTCAGCAGTGACGCTTGCCCATTTATGTAGGGAAGACAGATAACCTTGTCCCCTTTCCTTCTCTTCAGCAGCGAAGCTTGCATAACTACGTAGGCCCATGTTTGTCCTTTTCACCTGTTTAGCGTTGACGCTCACCGCTTCACTTTGGGAAGACAGATAATCAACAGTATCATCTGAAAGTACGGTAATTTGCTCCTCCTGAAGTTGATGTGATGAGGCTTCATGGCTTCCAGAGTCACTGGACTGAGTCAATGGGTGAAGCTGTTCCACAGTTAATTCCGGGAGACCGTCAGTGTTTACATCCATGTTAGCTGGTCTTTTACGAAGTGAATGTTTTTGAAATTGGCTACTTATTTCTGTGAGTGTGTCTGGTTAAAACTAACCGAACTGTCTGACTCTGTGTATAGTTAAAACTACTATTGTTGGCATAGACTTGTTAGGTAAATCTGGACGTAACCTCATCAAAGGAACGTCTGACGTAAGTAAACAGCTTAGCAACCGTTGCTAGGCACCCACAGCGAGTGCCGTACGCATTCTAGGCCCAAGCGGAAGTTAGTATCTCCATAATTCAGAACACACTGGAACGATTCTCCCCCACAATTTCTTTTCTCCAAGAGTGAAAAGGGAATAGGCATATTTGCATAAATTGGTTGAAATTCATAACATTACATTATTACAAAACGGAATGCTCTAAGTTGTGACATTAAAATTTTGATTCGCCATTCGACGAGGGGCGCCGAGCTCCAAATGCAGCTATAGCTATTTGCTGCGCCCACTCTGTGAATGGACGCGCCCATAGCCACTGGGCGCAAAATTTTGAATGTTGGTTTGTGCACTGTAACATGTAAAAATTACAGACCTGTTCCTTTACTTTTGTGACAAGTGAGCATCGAGCCGGGTTCATGTGTGAGCCAAAAAATAGAGCTTCATAGCATTAACGGTAGTATATTTTACGAAGGTTTGACATGCTAACGTTACTGTAGTGTACCGTACATATTGTGTATTTATTTAGTTTTTATGTTGTGCACATTGTGGGGGCATTGAGTCCAATTCCTTGTGTTTTTGAAATACTTGGCAATAAAGTTTATGCTTATGCTTATTTTGTGACAGAAGATTGCAAGTAAAACGGTAATAGTCACAGTGGCCATCTTGTAGCTACGATGGCTGCTGTAATAGCTACGGTAGCTGCTGG